TGTCCAACTTCTCCTAATTAAACATATAACACTAGCTTTGCCAGTTGGCGGGAAAATATATATATATAAACAAAAATTACTGAATTTATTAAATTTAATATTATATTATTTCCATTAAAAATGTTATTTATTTATTTTTTAAAATTCAAAATTTTATCAGGTAACTGAGTAATGTTCAAACATCTTTAATTCTTTAAATAATTAATTTTTATCCCCACACTTTTTTTCAGCATTTATTTTTTGCTATTTTTGTTATAGAAAAAATCAATATAATATATATATATACTTAATTATCTGTTTTTATTTTTAATATATATATATATATATATATATAAGTAAATGTAACAATATATAATATTTTACTAAAAAATTAAAATAAATTTTAGACAAATAAGAGACGACTAAGAGGAAATGAAGGCATACGTGGCCGCATGCATCAGCCGTTTGTGTGCTGAGATTCCGCACACCGATGTCTTGGATTTCCTAAAGGCAGAGTTGTTGTTTTCACGTGTTGGCAACTCTAACCCCTCAAACAATAGGTGAAAATAGATCGGCTTTGAGCCTATACATTTTATTAATGTTTATTTATTTACTTATTTTAAATAAAGATAAAGTACCCAAATGATCTTTCATTAGGTTTTTTTTACTATTATAAGTTACAAAATAGTTCTATAACTATATAATATTATTTTTTTGAGTCATCCGACTATCAAATTATCATATTTTATCATATCACAGTTTGATAGTTAACGTTCAGCTCAGACTACCGTTTGTAGCTTTGGATATTTGAGGGATTCAACAAAACAACAATCTATAATTTAATGATCATTTTATAACTTTTAATAGTCAAAATACTTAATCAAATAGTACCCTGTAGTCGGAGAACCATTCGTCTACTTTACCATATATATATATATATATAAAAGTTAAGATTCACTTATACTATATAAATTTCTTTTAGTTTTACACTGTTTCACGATAATTGAATTAAGGTAAATTAAAAGTTGAGATTAACTCATTATTTTTTTTCCAGTGTATATCTTATTATTTTTTACTATTAATTTCAGCATTCAACTTCTCTCAATCCAATGATCCTAAAAAGATATATATATATATATGTGTTACGATCCAATTACAGTCTGTAAAACTCTTTTGGTTTTAATATTTTTAAGACAATTTTTATAACGAGGCTCGTGACGTTATTTAGTTTTATATTCCACCCATTTTGAATACAAAATTCCCCTTTTCGAGAAAAAATTGCATATCTTCATTTTATTTTCTTAATTTGTTTCATTATCAAACAGTCATGGAGTTATGTAGAAGTCGGAGAGTCGCTGCCTCTCTTTAATTTTTTTTATTATTAACAATTACATATTAGATCTTTAAAATTTAATTTATTTTAATTTTGTCCTCATATTTTTTAAGTTAATTATATTTTACTCCCCTTAAACTAAAAATCTGACTTCGTCCTTGTTATCGAAATATATCGCATTGCAAAATTTTCAAGCTAAATCAAACGGGTCATAAACTCTAACATTGAACTCATTCATGTTTAGTGTTTTTCATTAAAAAAAATCAAAATTATTTTAATGTTTGTTCATTTTCATTATAGATATTCAAATTTATATTTTAGTATTTGAACTTAGTTTACAAGTTTAATTTGGTAATTTTGTCCTTTTTTTAAATTATGTATTTGAATCTGAATTCTAAAATATTTAATTTTAATTCTAAAAATAATTAAGTTCAAGAACTAATCTAAAACAATAAATTAAATCCATGTATTAATCTGCATCTAAATCCTTAATTCATTAAAAAAAATTGTATAATAGAATCTAAATTCAAATATCTAATTAAAAACTAAATTGAAAATACAAACCAAATTTATATACCAAAATATATAGTTACCCAATTATGATTTACAAGTACTCGAACGATCCTAGAGCCAAGGCCGAAGACTTCCATTAATGCTCCAATCGTTATTTACGTTAGGTACGAGCTGAGAGCGATCCCGATCCCCTAAATTTATGGGTTAATTACTTTTAGGTCCACATTAGTTTTGAAGTAAATCAAATTAGGGTAAGTTACATCAATCATCAATGTACTTTGCTCTCTCTCCTATTTCACTCACTCTACTTTAAATTCGTTTAATTTTCTAATACATTTGATATTTTTGGTCATTCAGTCATTTTCTCACTAACGACGTTATAAATTGGATGTTATATAGATGCAAAACAACGTCGTTTTGGTCAAATTTTCATTTTTCTAAAACGGTTTAGTTTTAACGATGGTAACTTTCTAACGACAGAGTGACAAAAAAACAAATGTATTAAGTTCAATGTGAAAATTGAACGATTTTAAAGTACAGTGAGTAAAATAGGAGAGAGTAAAATTTAGTGATGGATAATGCAATTTACCCATCAAATTATATTCGAACCCCTTCAATTTTCTTATTTGATTCATTTTATATCCCTAAAAGCTTTGTAATTAGTCAAATTAAATCAAGTCCATCAATTTTTATTTAAATATTCATTAATTTCCTATAAATTAAAAAAAATAATCGAATTAAATTATTATGTATTATTTTTAAATTTATAACCATATTTATAATTAAATTTAATATTTAATCTTAATTCCATCTCAAGATAAATTGCCTTTTGTGGAACAACTTTGTTTATATATGATTTATAAAATGAAATTCAATTAAATAGAGGATAATTATATTTAATTATTAATAGAGAAAGGTCGATGGAGAGAGATTCAAGCACATGTGAGTCTGCCCTGCTAGAGCTTGTCGTTTCCCTTATACACCACATGTGACTGACCACTTCACTGCCCCCAAATGGTTCCAATTTCTATTTTATATATAAATTTTTTTTATATTTTCCAAATTCATTAAAAAATATACTTAATTAGTAATCACAATTTAATCCGAATATGACGGGTTTTATCTGATTCGACTAGATAAAACCAAATTTTAATATGAAATCAGATCGAGTGAGATATTATAACCAATGAAGTCGGATTGGATTTAATATTAAGATGAAAAATACTCGATTCAAGCCTATTCAAGATTATAACCGAAAGGTACGTTCAAGATTAAAGTCGACGGCGCTTGCCCTCGACCACCTGCTTCTTCAACCGTTGGTTTTAGTCTTCGTGAGAGTGCTGGTGGGGTCGTTGTTGGTCGAGCTATCTCGGTTCCGCGCTCTCGTGTCTCTGGTATCGTCGAAGCTTTGGCCATCTCACATGGTGTTCGTTTGGCAGTGGAGATGGCCATCTCACTTAGGATTGAAAGGGTGTATACTTCTCGAATCGGATGAGACCTCCCAAAAGATAGAAAGATATATTTTTAAAAAATTATAAATAGATATAGGTATGAGCAAAATTTCACTCGACTAAAAAAAATCGATTTTTTCTCAATTTCGAGATATCTGAGTCGAGTTATTAGAGTTATTCGAGGCAACTTGAAATTATCAATTTGGTTTTCGAGTTCGAGTCGAGTTGAATTTAAAAATTTTGAGTCACTCAAAAAATAAAAAAAATTGGTTGAATATTTTGCTAAATTTATAATTTAGTTCATAATTTCCTTATTCTTTCAATCCCTCAATCATTTTTAACACCATTTTTTTACTAAATTTGAACCACATGCTCTTAAACTATTATAGAATATATATATATATATATACTTTCAATTCTCATTTTTGATAGCAAGTTTTCTATTTTTCAATTTAATCCCTCAACTTTTCATGATTTCTTCAATTCATCATTCATTTTAAGTTTATTTTTTAATCAAATTTGAACTACATGGTCCCATACAAAATACCTCTTATTCACACCAATTACATTATTTGTAAATTCTTTTTCACATCAATTCCTTGACTCCTTATACTCTCGTAAATACTTTATTCTCAAAATACATTTTTTAGAATATAATATTGTAGATATATTAAATAAAACTATAATGTAAAAATAATATGAATATATATATATATATTATAGTTAAAAAAGCCAAAAAAGTTTGAATCAATCTTCACCATAATACTATAAATAATTATAATAAAATTTGTCTAGAAACTTTTAATAACTCGACTCGACAAATTTTCAAGTTAAGTTTGAATCATAAAATTTAAATTGACTCGACTCGATCCAATCGAATGCTCACCCTAAATAGACATTACAACAATAATTTATATCTTTATATCTATATATATATATATATATATATATATATATATATATATATATATATATATATATATATATTCAAATCAAATTGAATTGAAATTTTTCCTCAATTATCTCCCTAAAAAATCCACCTATACTTCAAACTTATTTTAAAAAAATATAATTTAACTATATAAAATCATTTCGAGTTAAAACCCATCAAATTTAACTATTTTATTAACGAGACCCCAACATATTTTAAAAAAAATTAGCTTGAGGACTCGGGTTTGAGCATCATAGATGTCAAGGGTGTAAGTGCTCAATGTCGAAAATATTAAGAGTTATCTTTGAACAAATATTGTCTTGTACTTATCATAGATTAATAAAAAAATTAGTTATTTTGAGCATCACACTATTATTATTACTACTATTTATTTATTCGTTGATTATCGCGTATATGTGCGGGATGAGATTACCGTTATGGGGAGATTGTTTTTTCCGTTGACCGTTTTGGTTCTTCTTTAAGTTTTTCTCCTCTATGTTCAATGCTTGAAGCCGTTGATGTGATCAGTTTATATACGTCGTTGCTTCACTTGTTCATGTTTTTGTTTATCAGACTATCACTAGGTGATCATTGTTATATTTCATTTATGATAGTCACAGCTGTATTTGTTCAGTCTATAATTGATAAGACGTTATTGACACGCCTTTTGATAAATGAATATATTTTGGTTACTTCAAAAAATAAAAAGTGAAGCAGGCCGGCCCAGTTAAGAAGGCTTGGACCTAAGAGAAAATATTCCTTTCTTCTACAAAAACAATAAACAGTCTCGAAATTCCCATCATCATTCATCAATCCATCCTCCAAATTTCGCATTCTCAGAGAGAAGCAAGAAAGCTAGGGTTTGGGTTGGGAGAAATGGCAATGAGGAAAGTTTACAGCGAGATCAAAGGGATCAAAGTGAAGGAAGTCCCTAACTACGTGAAGCCGATGCTGTCCATGGATTACGTGAAGAAAGCTTTTCAAAAGGGTTTGGACAATTACAATTCCAAATACATTCAAACCGATTCAATCCAGCCTCTTTACCATGTCTGCTTCGGCGGGATGATCTTCTCTTACATCGTCGCTCTCCCCAATGAGCGCCGCCATCTCGAGCACAAGGAACATGGCAATCATTGATCCCCCATCCCATCCAGGTATTTCTGATATCCCCTCCCTTTTTTTTGGATTTTTAAGGTTTATTGATCTGGGTATTATTTTAAATGGATGATTGATGTCTATGTTTCACGTTTAGTTGTTGAAATGCTGGGAATCTTAGCTATGGATCTATGGGTTGTTTAATATTGGTTTGAATTTGTTGTTCATGCAATTAGATGCCGATTTGATTGACTCTTTGCTGAGTTTTATGTTGGGTAACGCTTATTGGATCAATGATTTTGATGTTGTTGTATCATACATGAATCTGTTTTGATGTTTGACTCTAATGATGTTTAAGTGATGATGAGTTCGTGGTTTTGATTGTTTCGTTTGTGCACTTGTTTGTATTTGGGAATTCATTGGTCAGAGAAAATTATACAAAAATTATTTCATGGACCACCACGTCATCCATGGTTCCGGGAATCAAATCCACCAATTTTAAAATAGCCAAAAGGGTAAATTTTTTTCACAAAGTAGGCCTAATTTATCAATTTCGCTACTATCTTATTTTCACATCAATTTAGTCTTTTAAATTACTTAATTACATTATTTTATACCCTACCCTTAATTTAAAACTCCTAATTTATAAGCCTTAAACCATAACCCCATAGCCCTAAACTTTAAATTCTATTTTAAGTTTATAATTTAGGATTTTAAGTTAGAATAGGGAATAGAATGATGTAATTAAATAACTTTGAGGACTAAATTGATGTAAAAATACGATAGGGTTGAAAATAATAAATTGAGTTTACTACAGGGGCAAATGTGACCTTTAAGCCTTTAAAATAACTTTCAAATAACTAGTCACTCCTTATTTACACGTAAGAAAGAGGTGAATGTTATTGGTTGAGACCACGAATAATGTGATAAGTCAGGTCTATCTAATAATATTTTAAAACTTAGGGGCAAAGGACAATTCGGTTCAATTCGAAAAAATAGATTACTTTTTAAATTTTGAATTATTCTAATTGTTCAATTCAACTCTGATGTTTGGTTTACATTTCGAGTTCAAGTCGAATTTTAATACGTGAAGTTTGAATAATAAAAACAAATAAAAAATATGTGAAGTTTGGTTTCCGATTTCCTTGTTTTCTCAATTCATGATTTGATTTAAGTCTATCTATGGTCAAATTTAAACCACATTATCTTCCACCATGGTAGAATACATGAGTTCACCATTTTTGTAATTTAGTCACTCGACTTTGTATTTTTTCTAATTTGGTCATTGGATTGTTTGCCTTTTGCAGGTCAAAGGGTTGGGGGTTTATGGCTTACTTAATGCATTGGGTTGTAATTTCTGAACACTTTTGGGGCAGGAAGATACTGTCTTTTATGAAATGTCTTTGCAGCATTATGCTGATAAAACAATACATTTGATTTTTCTTATGGTGATGTGTTGCTGATTTCTATTGATTAAATAAAATGATTATTGCTTGATAGTTTGACTATATCTTTTAAATTATTATTAAATAATATTTTATAGTTAGTAAAGGAATGAGATGCTACATAATTTAAACAATAACAAAAATTTAAATTATAACATTCTGAATATATCAAAACTATATAAATAAATTTTGGGTAAAGTATGCAAACGATCTCTTGATTATAAGGGATACTTTGTTGAACAAAATGATTATCAGATTATAAGATATTGTTTTGTTGAATTTTCAATTATTAAAAGTTACAAAATAGTCATTTGACTATTGATATGTTTTAATTTATCTCTAATCATATGTTTAATATATTTTTTTTTTTGTTAAAAATAATTGAGGGAATATTTGTGTACTTTACCCATAAATTTTTATAATATTTAATTCTAATTAATCGAATCATTGATCAATAAATTAAAAAGTAAATTGTGCATTTAGTACTTAAACTAACAAGTTTTGATCTATTTTAGTATCTAAACACTTAAAGTTTAATTTTTATTTCATTTGAGTGTTATGTTCAAAATTTAATGTTAAGTTTTGTTTTTTTTTTGAAATTTAGGTATTAAAATGAATCAAATTTGGAAGTTTAGGTATTAAAATAGATTAAAATTGATAGTTTAGGTACTAAATGCGTTAAAGTTTTAATGGCATGGTATTAAAATGAAACAAAAACTAAACATTAAGAATGATTTTGAAAAAAATTTAAATGTTTAGGTACTAAAAGGGATCAAAATTGATAATTTAGGTACTAAATGCATAATTTATCCTAAATTAAATATCCTTTAAGGGTAAATTACATAATCATTATTGAACTTATTCGTTCTCCTATTTTACACACTGTACTTTAAATTCATTTAATTTTCTTGCTTAACTTTTTTTTAAAGAAACACTAAACTTAATACATTTGTTTTTTTTATCACTCTTCCGTTAAATAGTTAACTACATTAAAACAATAGGAAAAAAATTACCAAAATGATGTCATTTTGCATATATATATAACATCTAGTCCTAACAAACTTGACCCTAACCCAATTATCCGAACTAATTTACCCGACCCAATACCCGATATTAACCCGAGCATGATAATCAAATTTGATCCGATATCCGAATATACCTCATCCAAAATTTAGTGAAACGAAATTAACTCAAGCCAAAATCATCATGAAGCGAAATTAACCTGAACCGAAATTAACCCGAATCGAAAGAAACCCGACCCGAAAGGAACCCGAATCGAATCTAACCCGACCCAAAAGCAACCCAAACAAATTGAAATTGATAAAAGTTATTAAACGATAAAAGATATTTTCAATATTGAATTAATTTAAATAAAATTGATAATTTATTAAAATATTATATTTATAATAAAATAATAGTAAGTTTAAGAGGAATATAAAAGTAAGAATATAATCGTAAGATTGAAAACAATAATAAATAAAATTTACTTATCTTACTTGTTATAAAAATATTAGATTTATAATAAAAATAATAGAAAACAAAGAAAATAATATTAGATTTATAATAAAAATAATAGAAAACAAATAAAATAATATTAGATTTATAATAAAAATAATATAAAGTTTCCTTATGTTACGACGAAAACTTAACAAATAAAGTTATGTATTAATTTTAAAATTTAATAAAAATATAAAATTTATAATTGAAAATAAATTTTTTAATAAAAGTTTATTTCTTTATCAAATAGTTCTCGTTATAAATTTTTCATACGAGATCAATATAAAATTTTGATAACAAATTCTAATACATATTATAGGATCGTATTTGCGTCAAATTATCGATTTATCATCTCTAAATGATGCTTTAATTCAAAATATTGAACAATTAATAATTAAAATTAAACCTAAATGATAAAATTAACAAATAAGAAGATATATTTTTACAACTATATATCAATTATTCCATATATACTTGATTTTGATTAAACTAGTAACCGATCCAATATTGACCCGACCCAAAATCTAACCGATCTGATATTAACCCGATCCAAAATCAACCGATTTGATATTGATCTGAACCGAAAAACAATCGGTCCAATAATCACCCGACCCAAAAATTGACCGACCTTATATTTGACCCGATTTGATTCACCGTATACTCGAACTAGATTCGATCTAATCTGAACAAAATTAAATCGAATTTAATATGGACTCGAAATTACCCGACCCAAAATAGATCCGAATGACCCGTTTGCCACTTATAATAACAGTTCATTTATAACGCCGTTAGTGAAAAGCGGTTGAGCAACTAAAAAGGCGTTAGTGAAAAACGGTTGAGCAACTAAAAATCTAATGTATTAAATTCATTGAAAAAATTGAACGGACTTAAGATATAATTTAGTGAAATAAGAGAGATTTAAGTTAAGTGATGATTAGTGTAATTTACCTATCTTTTAATTAAATAAAAGAAAAAGGTCATATCCGATTCATGGACCGAATAGAAGCATAGGTAAGAATTTTGGAAATTCCAGTTGATGATCTGCCCTGGAACATATTCACCAAGAGCAATGTAATGATCCTTTCAATTGCTCAGCTTTGCGATTTCCAGCTTGATTGTCTTTTTCACCTTGGACCCATCATCATCATCATCATCGGGCTAAACCCTAAATCTGTCGTCCTCATTCTTCGGTTATGATGGGACAAAACGTCGTCGGCTTAAACCTTGTTCGGAAAACCGTCGCCGGCAGCATCGCTAATGCTGAAATTGAAGGAGGAGATCAGCCGCCAGTGGTGGGCTATCGTATCGTAGTGGCAAAGTAATCTCCATTAGATCATCTAAGAGTTGAACCTTATATCACCGGTAATAGGCATCATCAGAGACACGCTTAGCTGCTTTTAAAACAGCTTCCATAACTTAAATACGACATGCAGATACAAGAAGATTTGCACCACTGATTAAACTACTAGTGCTACCCACCAACATAATACATTAATATTTAGGGTAAAGTATACCAATAGTATTTCCCAATTATAAGACGATGTTTTGATGGATCCCTCAATTATTAATGTTATAAAATAATCATTCGATTATAAGTATTAATATGTTAAGTTTCTCGACTATCTAAATTTATAAAATAGTCGTCCACCTATTCATTAAGTTTCAAACTCATATTTTTCTGTTGAAAAAAATTAACTGTAGTTTGAACCGAACGTTAACCTATTGGTTGTTATATGATAAAATCTGGTTTGAGAATCTCAAACAACTATTATATACTAGTCATTATGTTAACGTTTAACTCAGACGACAATTAAAATTTTAACAGAAAATGTCGAGTTTAAAACATAATAAATAGTTAATAACTATTATGTAACTTTTAATAGTTGAGAAACACAACAAAACAACATTTTATAATCAAATGATATTTTTTTATATGCTTTTGTGAAACACATACTATCATTATAAATTATTTTTAATAAAATTCATTTTTTTATGTTTTTATTATAAATTAGATTAATATATTTTATATATTATGATATTAAAATTATTGAATATGATTTGAATATATTTTTAATCTATATCATACTATAATGAATATTTATCTTTTCAAAATCACATTCTACAATAATACCAAACACTTCAATATTAAACTAATTTTTTAAAGAAATATTTTCAACACTTTTTCGCCTCACTTTTCAAAAACACTCATAAATAAGAATGGGCATGTGGGTTGGAACGAGTTTTTGGTCCACCCAATTTGAAAATTATACATCCTCCACTCGACCCGAGAAATATACACCTTTCACCTAACTCGAACCCGACCTATCTTTTTGAGATAAAATTCAAATCAACCCACCCGAAAAAATATATTTATTAAAAATATTACTTTTATTAAATAAAAATAAAGATTTAATTGAGAAATAATATATAGATTAATATTATTACAATTATCCATAATATGTAAGGTAAAAAAAAATTCTAGGTCGGATCAAACAATTTTTGCCTTAAACCCAAACTCAACCCTATTTTTCAAAAAAATCCAACTCAATCAAGTTGGATCAAAACCCCTCAAATTCGGAGCCCAATCCCATCCCTACTCATAAACCCAACCCTCAATTTAACATTATTTGATGACTCCCAATTTTATTTCATGTGTAATGCCACTTTCCATAGCATAATAATATTCAACATATTATATATTTATCCAAAGTTTAACATAATTATCTATTTGTATCATACTATATAATTATATTTTAAAACAAACAAATTAGAAGTTACAAAAACAGTTTAAAATAATTACTAGTATACCGTTAATAGAATTATTGTAATTTTACAATTATTATCTAATAAAATGCTAAATGTAAAAAAATAATGTTTCTCATCTTACTTTTGCATACAATACGCAAAGCAGCGAATTAGATTCGCTTTTGAAGTTATATTTTTATCAACATTTTACTTCGCAAATTTGTAGTAGAAATTTAATTAAACTTAGGAAAATAATTTCATAATATCGTGTTTTACTAATTAATTGTCACTTTACTATTCTTTAGATCGGTATTAACTTAAATTTCAAGAGAATCTCTTATACGACTATTTTTTTTTTGCACAAATAGTACTTTGAATCTCTCGATTATTAGAAACTACAAAGTGACCTTTCGACTACAGAATGTTACTTTATTAAATCCATTGACTATCAAAAGTTACAAAATGATCACCTGATTATTCATTATGTTCCAAACACGTCATTTTCCGTTACTGACGTTACTCTAAACTGAACGTTAACTTGTTGACTATGATATGATAAAATATGATCTTAGAATCTCGAACGACTATCACATTTCAATCATCATATTAACGTTCAGCTTAGAAAACCGATTTTTTTTAATGAAAAAAGACAAGTTTAGAACTTAATAAATAGTCAAGTGACCATTTTGTAACATTTGATAGTCAAGAGACTCAACAAAATAACACTATATAGTCGGAGAACCATTTTATAACTTTTAA